CAGTGGTACCTCAGGATACGAAATTAATCCGTTCCGAAACTGAGATCGTATCATGAAAATGTCGTAAGGTGAATCATTTTTCCCCATACGATTACACGTAAAACCAAATAATTCGTTCCAACGCGAAAAACATGCTCAAATTAAAGCCAAGTAATACATTAAAAAAAATAACTGTAATAAGAAAAACAAATGAAAAATGCGAACTAATGTAACGTCGTATGGTGAGTTTTTGTTCGTATCGTGGAGCAAAAATATGTTCGAATTTCATGTCGTATCCTGAAAATTTCGTATGTTGGGGCGTTCGTAACCTGAGGTACCACTGTAATATATAATTGAAAGTGCATAGACTAGAATTATATAAATTAAGCAGTGCTTCTGTATATATTAAGATTAAAGAGTGCTATTTTCATACAGTGCAATATTTTACTACAGAATATAAGAAGTATTTTGCCTTTAAGTTTTGACATTTAGTAAAAAAAACACCAATATCTAGCCTATGAGATTTGTATAGTTTGTGTTGAAAATAAATTTTACCTTGAATCAATTATTACCTGTTATCTAAGTTTTATAGACTAATTTCTTCAATAATCTTCAGTAACATTTTCTTCTACGTAATCTTTCTGCAAATATTACAGAAAAATTTTCATGCCATTTAATATCATTTTATTAAAAATTGTAATTTTCATAACTTTTCTTTTAAAATATAATAAATGGTCAAATATATTAGTCTTATAAAATGATTATTGGACTCTAAATATATATAAAAGCGTGGAATTTTAAAGCAGCAAATAATTAAGTGTTACTAGATTTTTCTACACTAACTATTTTAAGACTATAAATTATTTTAATATATAATTTGGACTAGAAATATTCAGTATATTAACATGAAGCTTATTAATGTAACTTTACTTGCTTGTCCTGCAGAAGTTTGCAAATTCAAATTGCATTTTAGATCACTTTTTCTTCTACAAATCTCTAAAATTATTAATTAAATTAAAAATTAATTCTTGTTATTAAGTTACATAGAAAGTGGCAACTCCATTTATCCTAGCCCCAATTATGTAATAAAATTAATTCATTTCTAGCATTAAAATAGTCCAGAAAAATTCAACAATATCTAAGTTTATTGTTGAATTTTGGCTGAATTAAATCTGAACTTGTTTGAAAAAAATTTTTTTGCATCTTTTTATTACATTATAATAAAAAATTTAATAACTGACTTATTTACAAAGCCAAACTATAATATACATTAAATTAATTAATTAGTGTTTTAGGAAAATATAAGTTTTTAACGAGCAATTTATTTATTATGACATTGCCATAATGCTGGGCTGCAACTTTTTGTCAAAAGGCACTTAAGTTTAGTAGTAGCTTGCCCTGTACATCATATATTTTCTGTTAACAATGAAGTCATGCTGGCCCTGTAACTCCATTCAGGAGAAAATTTTTAAATTGAAATAACGTGACTCTCCCCAAAGAAGTTTGTATGTAGTTAATCAGGGCCTCCTGCCCCTAAGCTTTCATATCTGATCGTAACTTTTATCTAACATCATTCTCGAGATTGACAGATGATAATGGGAATTTATAGGTCTACAGTTTTTTCAAATTGCACCCCAACAAAAATATCTATATGAACACATGCTAATATTAATGAGATGTAGAGATTACACCATATATCAGTTCAATATTAAACACATGTTTAGAAACTATCTAGTACAAAGGTTTAAAAAGTATCTTGTCAAATTTAATAAACTAATAACATTTACTGAATGCAGTGAAGGTTTTAAATGATAATTGGGATCGTGATATAGAGATAAAATGCAAACAGAAAAGGCAAGAACTGTTTTCTCAAAAATGAGAAAATTGCTGTTCTAGAGACCTAACCCTTAATACAAAAACTAGAATAATCAGTTGCTGTGTGTTCCTGGTGCTATTGTACGAAATAGAATCTTTGAACCATATCCAAAACAGCTGAAAGGAAGATCGAAGCCTTCAAAATATAGATTTACCAGAGGCTTTTAAGAGTATCCTGGATAGAACATGTGACCAATGTAGAAATATTGTAATGAAGGGAATAAACAACAAAAACTGCTCAATACTATCAAAGTTGGAATACTTCAACCACATGATTAGAAATGGTGTCAAGTACCAAATCTTATAACTTGTTATACAAGGGAAAATCTCTAGAAAAAGAGGACCAGAATGACAAAATCTCATGGCTGAAAAACCTGAGGGACTGGTGTGAAATTCCTTTGAAAGAACTGTTCAGAAGAACCAGCAATAGGAATACATGTAGCTTTAACAACAGCCAACATCTAGAATGGATAGGACATCAAAAGAAGAGGAAGAAGAAAAAATTTACTAAATGCAGTTAAGGTTTTATCAAATAGGCAATAAAGAAATATGAAGTCTAAACTTCAAACTTTTTCAGAAAGTATTAATACATTAATACAGCAAGTTGAATTACATAGATACATGCAATTCTTAAACTTAAACTAACAATGCCATCTATTACACACCACCTTCAATATATAAAACAAGTAGCAAAAACTTCAAGTTAATATAAACTTTGAAGAAAAAAAAAGTTTTCTTTTCATAAGAAGAACTGTTTAGCTTAAATATTCATTTCAAAAGCTTATTACTGTTAAAAAATATATTGTATTTAAGAATCTTGTGACTTATACAGGTTTTCAACTTGCACAGATATCCAGTGGTGTAGCGAACATAACTGGTGCTGGGGCACGACACTTTATTGATGCCCCCCTCCAGAAACAATTCTTGTTTGTTTTGGAGATCATTTGCCGGCCCCTCTGTGAGTGGTGCCCGGGGCATGTAGACCCCCTTGCCCACCTTGCTACACTAGTGCAGATATCTTGGAATAAATTAACCCCATTGAAGACTCTATTCAATTCATTTTTTAATGTTATAAGGTCATCAGCTTAATGGCTGGTTAACACAATTTGATTGCTGCCAACATTTTATCACTCAAAATTGCAACATGCACACCGATTTGCCTCATTTAAGCAAACTTGAAACTTGCTGACTTGGTTTGACAAATCACAACTATCACTGGAAATTTAATCCTAAAATGCCAGAAAATTTAAAGAGATACTAAGCAGAAAACCTGACAGGATTTTCTGCTTAGCATCTCATTAAACCAATCAATTTAAAATGATTCTGATCTACAAGATTAAAATTATGTGTAGATTGATTCTCACCACTCTCAAAAGAAATAAATGCTCTTACAAAAACTCAGAACAACTCACATTCCAGTGCGTCATGTAAACATCTGAATTATTGACTAATCTTCTCAGCATGTTTTTTGGGTGCAACAAAATTACAGTAGTAGTAATATTGTGTAAACCAGATTTAAATGATGTGTTTTTATGATTAGAAACAAAATAATAAAAAGTTTAACTTTAAAAATCAATTGCATTATGTAATGATTAAAAGATATTAAATAATAAATACTTGTGGCTTGAAAATAAATTGAATGCAAACATTCAAAAGAAAGTGCAAAGTTGACATTTGTATATGTTAAGATTAATTTAGGTTTTACTCAATTTTTGAATATTTATTTTTTATAAAATTAATTAATTAAGAATTTTTGTTATATTTAAATTACTACAGAATATTTTTTAAAAATGATTTATTACTATAGTTATATTCTTAAAAAAATTAAAAAAACTATAACAACTATAATAATCATAACATAATTTAATTAGAAAAAAAATCATAAAGTGTATTAAAATTATTATATTATGTTACTTTATTAAAAACTAGCTGTACCCGAATACATGTTGCTGTGGCTCAAAATGTATCTATTATAAATGTATAACACTCCTGAGGGAGGGAATTTCGAAAAATCCCTTTTTAGTGTACATTCTCTTGACGTACCCTATTAAAACGCAATCAAAACGCAAAAAACCATATCTAAAATAATATTAAGACTTACCATGAAGAACTAAGCTTTAATTTTGTCCCTCTCCCCACGGGGGGATTTCACATCTATATAATTAATATACAAGTTTGGACATATGCATTGTGTATCTCTCCGACCACGCGATTGCACTGCGTGGTTACCTATCTCATATATGTACGCATCTTGCCCCTCGCCATCACTGACACCAAAAATTTAACGCTTACCTAGATGATATCTTTTAATTTATATGAATGTTTAACGGAATAATATACAGCCTATGTCCACCCTGACGGTCCATTCTAAATATTGGTGAAAGAATTTTTGAAATCAGATGAGTAGTTTCGGAGATTACCTCCTACATCCAAACTTACAAAGTTTAGCTCTTTATAATATTAGTATAGACAAACAAAAAAACAGTCAAAAGTATTGCTGACCACTGCCTTTACAAATCATTGTATAAATGTATGATCAAGTGCACCAAGAATATTTATAAATAAAAAAATTTTTATTTTATGGAGTAATAATAATTTAAAATAAATAAAAATAATAAATAATTATTATAATTAAAAATCTGTTAACAATTGGAGGAATTTTGCTCAATTCTTCAATACAAACTTTAACCTTTATATAATAAAAACAACAACAAGAAAATTTGTTATCATCACAATAATTTTACCACCTTAAG